TTGATAACTTCAGTGTTGCGCAATACCGTTTGTAGTTGTTGCTCGTTTCCGGGGCTCGTGTACGGAACAAAAATAGTTGGATGCTTGCCTCCCTAGAAGTAAATTTTAATGTAATTTATCTTTTTCAGCATTTGGAATTGGCTACTTAATTCGGATTTATACAATGACACTCACAGGTTGGTGGTAGATTCCGAGAAATGTACCATTATCGATGTCGTGGGGGACATAATACAGTTTGTAGGTGGGAGCAGCATTTTTGTTATTCCATTTAAACCCGTTTTGATAAAATAGTATACCTGTAAAAAAAAAAACCATAACACGATCTAGTATTTTTTTCCCAATCCATTCTTCGGGTCCACATCTGCAGTTTTTTTTATATTTTACTGAAATTAAAAAAATATGTGTATGTAAGGAAACTTTATTGTAGAGAGTATTTTTTTTAGGATACGAGCGGTAAATTCCTTTTAGCATAGGGGCGGCAAATTGTTAAGGTCCGCCTGTGTAGGTGTCGCTTTAGAATTAGGTTAAGTAAAAGTATTAATGTAATTTTTTGATTATACTTGCATCGTAACTAAACTGATCAGTGAGAGGAATGTGCAGGACCTGATGGTCATTGATTTTCTGGTGGTGTTTTAGTCCTTACTCAGGCATTAGGTCAGAACTAGGGCTACTTATACTTGTAGGTCTATCTACTAACGCCTTCTCAGTTTGTACACAATTTTAAAGTTGTTTTAGACATAGACCGGCCCTCTTCACGCTTCCACCGTGTCAAGATAGGTGGCGCTTTTCGGTTACTGAGTAACTCTGATACGGTACAAAAATTATTGTATATTATATGAATATTATTTGAAACTTAATAATTTCAAATGTTTAATATTTGTTTATAAAGGAATAATTGTTATAAATAATATTAAATAGTCTTCGTTTCGTTTATAAGCATATATATTTAATTACAAATATTATATTGTCAATGCACATTAATATCAATCATATAATTGTAGGTAATTATGTTATTCATACGTGAAAACGTAATAACGCTGCATGTCTTATTAATATTTAATGGAAGGCGATTAACACGACTCCAATCAACAAATTTATCAAAGTTTGATTGTAATTTTATGGCATCATTGGAGATTTAATAACTGAAAATACCAAAATAAGATAATTTATATTAAAGAGTGTTGTGATTAACTTTATCAAACGCTTTTTGAAAGTCAGTATATATAGTGTCTAATTGGACACGTTCATTAAGGGCTGAAAGAATCTTCGTCTGATAAAGTAATTTATTAGTGGAAATCGACATATTGGGACTGAAACCATGTTGGTTTTTACATATGAATGGAAATTAAAATAATACAATTATAATCAGGGTAATTATATTATAAAGACTCAATTACCTCACAATATTTAGAATATATATCAATAGAACTATTTGGAGGAATATACAAACAACCTATAATTATTTTAATATTATTGTAAATAAATTTCAAAAATACTTGGGACACAAAACAACTGGGGACGTTTAATAATTCACAACTTATTTAATATTAATTATAAAAAATTTCTAGCACGGGTATTAGAACGGTTATTCTTGGATACAATAACCGGAGTATAACCTCTTATGTCTTTGATGATTAGATCGTTTTCACCATTTGTTCAACGGGACTCTAATTCATCACGGAGTTTCTTCATGTAATTCCTCTGATAAATAGTGCGATCCGAACTGATACAATAGTAGAAGGTGGTTGCAATGATAACAATTTTTTTAATTTTATTTCAAACACATCAGCTGCTGTGTTAAATACAGCCTCAATTGGACGGAGATTATTATGACCACAAGTACCAAGACGAATAAATATTTTTGTCGGTTTAATACTACTACCACTAATAATTGAATCGATAACAGTACTCACTAGATTAGAGTCATGTGTAATTTGGTCGACTGCGTTATCAGAGTTGGACTCTAGAACGTTATAAAGTTAATTGAATACTTTATGCACTGATATTGCGTTTGCCGACTTCGCCGATTATAAACTCATCAAAATGATGTGATGTATTGTTATTATTCTACTGATTTTTAATTTTATTAACTTCAGCTAATAAACTGTTAATTAATTTTTTTAGCTCTGGAATATCACGTAAACCGTAATTGCATGCTTCGCAAAAGTATTTCAAATGACTATTCTTTAAAGTAAGACATTTGATTTCAGACCCGAACACTTATTATTAGCCATCACATTTAATAGGAATATCAAGTTCAGCAAACATAAGATCGCAATTGTAACAGTTTACACTATTGGAAGCCATAGCTTACAAATAAACACAACAGATCTGAATAGTAGACAGTTAAAGAGATAAGCACGACCTTACCATATGCATGAATGACACAAATAGTATTATAATACTATTCTTAAGTTGATGAAAAAAAACAAATTCAAATTGATTTTTTTTTATACTTACAATAAAATTTCCATTGGAACGTTTAGCTCCCTTAGCCCACCCCCTGAGGACGCTACTAGTGTTATGGCTTCATATGGCTTATTATAACACCATAAAACAATTTTTAATGGGTCTAGATTAATTTTTGTTTGTATAGTTTCTGCAAAAAGTACATACAAGTTTTTGTATTATGAAATTGAATATTTTATACAATATTTTAATTCCATCGATTATAACTTATTGTTATTTGTAAATGTTCAATTTGACGCGATTATTAAAATTGTAGAATTAAAAATTTTAACAATTGAACAAAAAGTATAATACGTACATTAATACTATTAGGCCAATCCTTTTTCAGGACTTTGTCGCAAAAATAGTCCATTTTGTCTTCAGGCATTTCTTCCAAATAATCGAACTCCATGGTGTTTAGTCTGTTAACAAAACTAAAATAAAAAATGTATGCTATAGCGTACGGTGAAAGGTAATAGAATGGTAAAAGTGATCTTTAAACAGTATTAGCACCTTTATCAATAAATCATTGCGGAGTGTGGACCATAGTTAAATTGGTGTGGGTAAAACAGATTTTTTTATGTATTTCTCGAGCTAATATCAGCTTATCACTATAGCTCTAGAAATAACGATGCCACCGTGATCTGATGATATTATACCTAAGTTAATTTATCTACTAAAGTAAACACACCTCCGCTATACATACCATTGAGTTTTATCTACCACAATAATTAGAAACATCATCATCAAATTATCTTATTCTAACGTCAAATAATAGATATCTATGTATGTATACTCATTGCCACCTTTTTTTATATTAACTTGACAGTTAATATAATATCACAGATCTTAATTCAAGAAATTCTAAACAAAAATATTTTTTCAAAACAAATTATTTATAATTTTAATGACAGTAGTTAATGATTTACAATAAAAATTAAAAACATTAACATTTTTTCAAATCGTTTTAGTAAATATTTTAACTAAACATGGACGTATGATTATACTTGAGAAATATATAATTAGACTTCAAAAAAACATAATTATAATAATTGATATAACATTATTATAATATAAAACACAATTAAATATTTAATTTTAATTTCGGCTTTCGCTATAAACAAAAACCACAGGATAATAAACAGCTGTTTCATGTATGTATTATGTAAATACAAAACAAAATAGTTAAGACTTCAAAAATATGCAGCAGCCCAGCACAAATACTTTTTTATTAAATTATCAGAATCTTGCTCAACTTAAATTAAGTACGATCGGTTTTAAATATTAAAATGTATTTTTACATTATATACAATGTATATTATTATACATTATTATTTTCAACTTACCGATGATCTCTTAACTAATTATAAGTTAGTTTAAGACCTGTGTCGTGACTCGTGCATTAGACCAACGTACCTATTGAAAAAATGTGATTGATTGTATATTCTCCCTGATAGATACACTTGACAGCTTACAATAGTGTACTTTGGAATTACCCAGTTTTAACATCCGACCGTCTGGAAGGAAGATAATCTGTCTTTTTATAAGATTTAAATTTATTTCTAACTCATTATACATTATTTAACCTACTTTTAATTTTCCACTAAAAAAAGTTTTAGCTCGTAAATCCTAAAATAAATTTGTATAAAAAAATGTCTCAAACCAACAAACAAGTTTTAAAACCAATAAAATACGACTTTCTTTGTACACATCTTATTTGAAAAATATAATCGGATCTAAATTTTCTCTTTAAATAATCAGTTGGCAAATCCTATTACAAAAAAACTTACCCAAGTACAATTTGAATTTATTAATGAGTCCTAAACATAATTGAACACGTTGTTTATTTAAACTAGGTCTTGTTATCATCTTTTGGGGGAATTGATGCAGTTCTTTTTCATAACATGACTGGACTAATACATATATTATTGTTTACAAAATACAAATTACAAATATATGTATTTATTTATGTAAATGGTTATAGGCTGTTTCTAGATTCCCTTAATGTCACGTCAAAATATGTAGACTCATAATTTATTATATAATATTATAATAATAGCTAATAAACGAGTCTTTGACGCTTAATAATAACTGTTTGTTGATTATATTGGCATTTTTATGATCATCAGTTATTATATAGTATTTAATATAAAACTAACAATTTATCATTCAATACTATTTTCTTATATAAACATAAATAAATATATATATATATGTGTGTGTGTTGTTGCGTATAAACGCGTTGTGTGTGATGACACTAAGCGAGCAATACACGAAGGGAATGTTCATCTCAACGCAATATTTCATTTGAATAAATTAAAACATGATAATAATCATCATGAACCGACGGTACAGTATATGTACCGTATACATTATTATACTAGGTAGGTACATATTATATTATTCCGTAGCTTATCGTTGTCACTTCGGATATTCATAGGTTTTCCAACAAATCTAACCGGTTTGTCTTCTCTTAACGTTTACCTACCTTCCCCAAAGTGTTTACATATTGTATATGATAAAATATAAATAATGTATATATTTGTTAGTAGTCTTCAGTGGCGATGCGTTTAAACTCCACCGCAGTTGTTGATGCCTGTTGGGCTGCGCCAGTAATACAGTTGTGTCCGTCTGATAACGTCGAATTTTTGAATTCGCACGCCAACACAGTTACATCATATTATAGCAGTTTGTCTAAACACCCGTCGTGTCGGTATAGCCTAAAGAGTATACCACCTGTTATTGTTACATCTACCTATTAAATACATTAAACTATACACCATGTCACCCGTGAGTAACGTTTTGTTATTATTATTATCGTAACAATTAATATCGACGGCATAAATGCACTCTTTTTGGGAAATCGATTCAAGTGTGGACAGACATCTATATAAGTTATCCTCCTACACACCGTGTACACATTATCGGAAGCCGGAAGTTCATAGTTTTACTGTTAGGGGACTTTCACACATTTTCAATCGTATCGTTTCTGTAAATGTTTTTTTTTAATGCACTTAGGACATCATCTGTGCACAATGCCGTCGATATACATATTACAACATCGTTCACTATTACAACCGTTGTTTTTATACTAATATTATACTTTTTTCCCCTTGGCCATATTTCACGTAGAAAACTCCTATGTTGGACTTGAGGTACAACGAAATGTGGAACGACTGGGACGGGTCGGCCGGCGATTTTGGAGAACCGGTGATTTTGGAACAGCAGCAACACGGTCGTCTGGTGTTGTCTTGGAAACGGTTAAACGTGCGGGTTACGAAGAAAACACACAGGCTCGTTAAGCCGACAAAATTAACATCCAAACAGTTATTGTTCAACGGTGAGTTACCACACATGGCCGAGATCGATAGTGGCTTTTGTTGCTGTTAAATGAAATAATATATTTTTTTTAACAATAAAAATTACTCATACACACATAAAAATATTGTAAGTAGGTACAGATTGGGTTAAAGTTATATCCTATAGGATAACGCTTACGCACAACTAAGTATGAACCGGTTGACGCATTTCTAGTACCTACTATATTGTTTACAAAATATACATTACTCCATAAATAGTTATTGTAACATTACAAACGAGTGCCTGACGACGAAAATAATTGCTCGATCAAACCGAATAAAAACATTAAGAATATTATGTTGCATAACTTATGGACAAACGTAAAAGCGCAATGACTGTAATTAATGCTTGATCGCACAACACTTTATTGTTTCTTTATATACTAAGACGTAGTAGTATTTCAATCAAGAATCACGATTTGCCGCTAATGACACTAATAAAAAGTTTTGTGCAGTCCGGTATTATTATTATTATTGTTATTTAAATTTTATGAACATATGGCTTCAATTGATTTGCTTTAAAAAAAGTGTACCTATACTAGACGAATCTATACTTATATATCAATTATTATTATCTCATTTAAACTTTGTAATTATTGGTACGTTTTCGGTTCAAAAGAGCTCTATTACATTATAGTTGTTAAATGTGTACTCTGTCTCTACAATGCTTTGTTTATATTAGGCCGATTTGGCTCTTATTGCAGAGTATGCCTATTGTAATGAGTCCTATAACAATAATCGGGAAGTAAATCGATTTGATCTACACCTTAGAAAACTTTTTTGAGGCAAAAAAAAATCCAATATTTTAAAATTAACTTTTTTTTTTATTAAACAATTTTCTTTATTTACAATCTATACAATTATATGTATGAACAGCAAGTCTGATGACAAAGATACAGTGACAATATTCAATAATGTAGGAATAGAAAGTGCTGAGTGCCACATGACCAGAATAATTAATGTATATGCGTTAAGCAGGTCCCTGGGCCATTGCCTTTTTAGTCTTCTAGGATAAAATTAACTAAAAAAAACTTGACCTTTACTGTGTTTTAGCTTTTTGGGCTTATCTAAAAACTTTTTCTGAACTCCCACAGTGTGTTTATGCCTGAAATAGTATTTATATGACTAATTAAACAAAATGTGTTTCTTATCTTTCCAGTCAGTGGCAACATAGAAAGTGGAAAACTTCTAGGAATCGTGGGGCCGAGGTTTGTATAATTTTCGTATAGCATTTATCATAATACTAAGTACTAACATCCGTTTTAAATTTAGTGGTTCGGGAAAAACAACCTTGATGGCCACTATAAGTCACCGGACAAAGGGTATTATATACTGTGAATGCATATTGAACAATCGTGATAAATTGTATACCTATACTTTGTTTAAGGAAATTTCGACGGTGAGCTTTTACTAAACGGCCAACCCGTGCCAGAAGAAAACATGATAAAAATATCCGGTTTCGTTCCTCAGCAAGACCTGAGCTTTGAACAGTTGACAGCTCTAGAACATTTAACATTTATGGTCAGTAAAAGTGGAATTATATACTATTTAATTAATTTTTAAAAACGTACAGCTTTCCGATTATATATGTTAATCGGGGATAAAAATGTAACAACACTCTTTATTTCTCATATAGGCCAAGTTGAAAATGGACAAATGTACTACCGCAATAGCTTTGGCCGCCAGAATCGAATATTTAGTGTCGAAAATAGGGATGAAAAATTTTTTAGACACTCGACTGACGTACTTGTCCGGCGGCGAACGCAAAAAAGTCGCATTGAGCGTTCAGCTGTTGAACGATCCTCCTATACTGTTTTGCGACGAAATCACCACAGGCCTGGACAGTTACTCGGCTGCACACATAGTCAACACTTTGAAAAGCATAGCCCGAACTGGTAAAATCGTCGTTTGCACAATACACCAGCCCGCATCCGGCGTGTTCGATAAGTTTGACGACGTTGTGCTTCTGTCCAACGGACGATTGGCGTACCAAGGACCCGTTTCTTTAGTAAATCAGTTTTTCAAAAAGTACAATAATTATTGCATTTATTTCCTATACCACGTTAGCCGTCGACTAACAACTATAATATAGTATACAGAGGGATGAAAACCAAAAGGGTATAATGTAAGTGACCATTTTTTCATTAACGAATTTTTTTAACCAATCATTATTTACCAACGATACCTTTTTTCCTTCACAAACAACAACATTAACAAACCAAAAAAATATCATAAACCCTTTCCCTTAGAAGGGATAGAATTTTTTTCTTTATTTCACTTTTTCAAGCAAAGTTTTAGAGATTTAGATCTGAAAATTAGACCGAAGGTAAATCTAAAATGGAACTATAACATATACAATTTTCTCAAAAATCTGTAGTCAAATTTTTTTTTTATTAAGGAAAAACCCCCAAAAAAGGGTAAATTTACACTTTGGCCGTAGTCAGTTTCTAGGTTGCTATGTGTTTGTGTGAATCAACAGTCAACAGGTAATGAAAATATTTTCATTATATTGTTAATTACGATTTATGGGTAACTATGACAGTACATTTTTGTAGACAGACGATCAACCCTTATCGTATCCACCCTGCACAAGACTAAATATTAAATTTTAAGTACATTATTGCTGGTCCCACGATATCTTCTGAACCATTATAACTAGTTTGAACGTACTATCCACAGATTTGCATTGAAGCGTTTATTTAAAAGTGATTTTATCACTTTCAGTTATAACAAAATCTGTAGACCTGTGACCTCTCCGTCCCCACTATGCCCCGACCCCACTGTACTGGCTTTTTTATCAATTTTTTTTAAAGTGGTATTGAAGAAAACTAGTGGACATCACCACACTTAGGACAAAAGATTTTTTTTTGCTCTCTTATAAAATGTTATAAAATCGGTTACACTTTTGGTTCTTATCTGTTCGTATGTCTGTTTACTTTGCATATGTACCGAATACCAATTTAATATTACAATTAGGTTCGATTACACGTGCCCGGATATGTTCAACAAAGCGGACTTCGTCGTGTCTATTCTCAACTCGAACGAAAAATCAATCAAGAGCAACGTCGACGAAATGTGCAGAATATCTTCCACCGAATATGAAATAGATTCAAACTACGATTCGTACAAATGCAGCGTATGTGTAGCATTATAGTCAGTGTTTTATTAAAAAAAAAAAAAAAATAGGGTACTTGTTTCAAAATGTTAATTATTCATGAAATAACGAAAATATGATACACACTGCATGCATGTACCTATATTAAAATTCTGACCTAACCTAACCTATACCTTGATTCTAAAAGCGCCGATCTCACTCGCTCACCAACTTTGACAAATTACATTTTTATATGCCATAATATTCTGTAGTATATTTTGGACAAAACTCTTTATAATTTGTTCAGTTTTATGTTGTGGTAATTTTTTAAATAACATCATAAATGGCGTCTACCTAATTTAATTTAAATGTATTTAGTGATCGAATTCGTTTTTATCAAAAACTGACGTTTGCTCTTTTAGACCCGAGGTGTATGTATAATACATATTATGTTATAAACTGATAATTCGATTATTATTATTTTCAACTGTTTTTTCTAGATGCAATTGGAGTATCAACAACTTTTGCACCCGTAAGTAAAATTAAAAATGTAAACCATTGGATCAATTATAAATTAACCTATAATATTCTTCTATATAAGTATTCTACACAGTTAGCACCACTAACTATATCTATTGGGATTTTTTATGCATTATAACCTTAACGATCCCACCTTTTTCAAAGTTTGACGTGTTTACGATACAACTATTATTAAAAACGTCTAAAGTATCATATTCGTATCACAAATAAATACGAGTTTATAAATTTTGTTCCAATTGTTCTTACATTTGACATTTGTACATACAAGTTACATTTTTTGCTCACGCTGAACTCTGAATGTATAACCTTAACAAGTGACATTAATTATCCTAATATTATTGTAATATGTAGCGAAAAACAACTATGGATTACACAGCTCAATTTAGTCTTGGGTAGATCCGTGAAATGCTTTTTAAGAAGCTACAAGGCCAAGATTCTGGAACTAATAACGTTATTGGTAAAACCCCGATATTGGCCAAACGAATGTATGTAAGTTCACTACAAGTATTATATTTTTTCTTGCAGTTTTTGGGACTGTTTATATCTACGCCGTACGCAAATTTGAAGTTTGACACAAAAGCCGTGCAAAACTGGCAAGGGTTCTGGTTTAGTTTTACTTTATACTCCATGTTCCATTATTGGTACTCTTCTATGATAGCTTACCAACTGGAATTCCCTATCGTCCACCGAGAAGTCAGTAACAGCATTTATTCCTTAAGCGCTTTCTACGTTTCCGAGATTGTCATTACGGTTAGTATACAGTCTATTGTCAACAGCCCGGTGTTATTGAAATATATAATATATATATATATATATATATATATATATATAAGAGTTAAAAAGTTAGAATGATAATGTTATACATTATTCTCAATTTAATGAAATGTATGCGTTATCATTTAAGTTTTAAAAGTTGCTATAAAAAAAACCAAAGTCGAGAGGGGGAAAAAACAAAATGTGAAAAAATGAGATCACATTGTATAAAAACGTTATGGAAAAATAAATTCAGTTTCTTATTAAACCCTATGAGATACTGCGCGAGTGGTTCGTGATCGTTAAATTTGACATGCCGTTATTTTTGTTCTTTGTAATAGGATATTTTTTGAAAAATTACCACTTGTACCAACTTCTGTTTTTTTTTCTTCTTTCAGCTGGTCTGGACCATCGTCGGTGTGTTAATGTCCACTTATCTGGTCTTTTGGATAGTCGGCATCGGTTATAATTTTTTGCAAGTGATGACGTTCTTGATCATCATGTTGGCGGCCAGATCTTACGGTGCAGTTTTTTTTTTATTATAGTTATTCGCATCTATGGATTGCTAGTGGGATAATAAGCGAATTTATTATTTTTAACATATTTTTCCAGGCAGCGTTCTATCTGCTTATTTCGAGAGACTCGAAACTGTAGTCATGTTCTCGTTAATATACGACTACTTGGCCGTACCCCTCAGCGGCGCATACATCTCACTCAGGTGCGAGCTATTAAAAAAAAAAATACCTATTCAGAAAACTTACATTAGGAATCGATTTATTAATATTGTTTCTGTTCCAGTTCCATACCGCTGTACTACCTAAAATATTTTTCATTATTTTTTCTCGCTTGTGAAGCGATGTCTATTCTACAATGGCGTGATAACACATTCATACGTAAGTTCCCTATGTTATTCTTTGTATTATTATATTTTTTGACTTGTGTCACGAAATTACTGTGCAGTGTTGCGTGAGCATATCAATTAAAAAAAAAAGATCAGTTATTATAGATTTTAGTCAAGCCGGGTTTTACCTCCAGGTAAAATTCTAAAAACTAAGAAACAAACTATATAAAAATTAAAACATTATCCAGAATTTGCCAAAATTTAAACGTTTTAAACGTTTTTTTTTTAACTTACCTAAAACGATTGCCCAATTTTGATAAACATTAAAACAAGTAGTATCTAATGCTATTTTTTAATTGGGGAAAGTCACACCTCTGGAGTAATTCTAGGTCGCTTTGTACGGTGGAACATTAAAAATACAAACTTACTACGTACTTTGTACGGTGCGAATTAATTGAAAGTTTATTCAGATATCAATATTGAAATTATAAAGTATAGACTAAAAAAAAATTTGTATAAATATTGACTGATTACAGTATTAGGTACAATGTAACAAATAAAATTAAAAAATTCGCAAATAGTTAATTTTTTTTTCTTCATGCCCGCGGTTACATAGATAAAAAAACGTTTTTCTATATTGTTGTTCTTAGATTTTTGTCCAATCATCTAGCTAGAGCACTTGTGCCATCCTCCCTTGAACGGCACTCTTCTAATAATGTTATCCTACCGTCATTGTTGGTCATGCAAATTGTATTTGATTTTATTTACATATTGCTACAGCATGTCTCAATATCAACAACTGCTTACACAACGGCAAAGAAGTGTTGTTGAGCTACGGATACGATATCGACCGGCTCAACGTGGACTTGATCTTGCTATTTGTTTTCTACATAGTTTCCTACGTACTCGGCTACTACGGCATATTAAGGAGGACCAAAAAACAGCCTGCTTATTAAACAACAGTGTTTGGTTAGGCGACCATAAAATTCCGTATTTATTCCAAATGTTAATTTTGCGTTTATAACAAAAAATCTTAATTGTTTATCTATCAAATCGCTTGTAAAACAATTATTACTGCGATATTCGTCGTCGTTTAAAATCCAGACATCTGGTTGCGTTTTAATTTGATTTAAAAACGATGACACCTAAAGTAAAATAAAATTGTCTTAGATCTCGAGCAGTCAGTACGTTTTATGTAGCCAAAAATTTATTTTAGTGTTGTCCAATAGACATTGCCACCATTGTATTTATACGCGGAAGTGCTAAAACATTTAAATCCACAGCTGTTATTTTTAAAGCATTGTACATATTTTTTATTCTACATAAATTATGTCTTTATATTATTATTATAGTCGGTTTATTTTTAATTATTCGTGTTGACATCGTTTGTTAAGTGTGTTATTAATTATAAAATATTTAATACTACTGTACATTTATTAATTTTATAAATACATTACGATAAAGCTCAATTTGTTATGTTGATCAATTTTATATGTACATAAATATTATTATCATGTCCTTATAATACCATTCACGCTGGTGACATTATACTATAATCATTGCTTTGTCCTTCGAGATTTTTAACAACCTTTTATTGAATTCAATATAATTGATACATTTAATGATGAACATACATTTTTTTTTGGCTTGATATCGAAGTAAAAAGTAACATCAAGACTTGTATATACAATACCTTCGGAAAAGTTTTTTTTCAATTTCGTTATGTAGAAAGTCTATTTTCATTTAAAAAATTCAGCTTTTTGTAATTAAATAAATTTAATTTGTACATTTTTCCTTATTAAAAAACATACTTTTTCACATAAAAAAAGCAAAAACTCAAAAATCCGTTTCTTACATAACCTAGTATAATAGCCAAAGAACTCCTATATCTCTATTATAGAATTGAAACCGGACTATCCTAAGTTGATCACATTTTAACTAGCTTTTTTTGGTCTAAAATAAGCCAAAATAGGTATAGGTTATATTACAAATAATATGCACTCGAATATATTTGAAAAAAAACTTAAATAAAATTATGGACACATACGGTGTATGTGTCCTCACTCATCTCCACAAACATTTTATAAAAATATTGTTATGTATAGCAAGTATATACGTTGCTTATCTTCTACAATATATATGTATATATATAGCAAGAAGAATAGGTATAATAATAGCTAAATGTACAAATATTTATGATAAGTTTTAATGAATAAAATATTATATAGTAACGGAATGTCAATAATTTACAAAGTGCAAGCCTCCTAAAGAGTTATTTTTTTTTACTTAAGTGTTATTTCGTTTATGCACGGTAGCCTATTTTACTTTTTTACTATTTTGACATTTACCTAATTTTATGTTTATGATTACTTGTAATAAATGAAATCTTATTTTTAAATGTATTTTAGTTCCACCATAGCATTATAATTATTGTTAGACTGGGATTTCAATTCCGTGTTATGTGTAATACGTTGCTTTTCTTCTGCAATTTTGCTGGCATACAATTGACAATTTAAAGTATTTCAAGACTAATCCGATTGTCACTACTAATCGGGCTACCGGGGTTCGAAGAACACCACTCGTTCGGATTTCCTGTAACCGATTTTTCGGGCCATTTTGAGAGACGCGACGTTGTCTTCGTCTATGATCCCGTGTGGCGAAATGCCTCTCTCGCCCATTTCTTTGGTAACGGCTTTGGCAATTAGAACGCCATACCCATTGTTCCTGCACTTGGGCAGCACCATCACTGTGGTCACGCCACCGTAACTTCCGCACATTCCCCACGCCAGCAAGTCGTTGTTCTGCCGGTCGAAAACACCCAAACCGAAGTTCAAGTTAATCGTGTCCCAAACGTCGTATTTCGAGTACACGTCGCCGTGGGTCCAATGTGAATAAGTGAAATCCACGTGGTCTTTGTTGAGCGGACCAATAATAACGTCTTCGGGAACTCTGTAAGAAAAACAATATCAAAATATGCAATACAACAGTCGGCGGGCCATAGCCCTACGCACACACGAGGCAGAATTAGCAATTCTATCCAGGTTAAAAATGTCTAAGTAAAAAACGACCCGAGTATAATAATACGCCCAAGTAATGTCTATAAACAAAAAAGCCAAGAGGAAAACATGTCCAAGTACCAAAAAGTCCAATACATTTGTAAATAAAAAAAAAAAGGTATGTGACAATTCATATAGGATATTATATTTTTATTAGGTACACAAATTAAAATGCGGTTTTTAGAACTCTCATTTATATTGCTTAAATTTAATAATATATATTCTTTAGTATATTATGTATTTAAGAATACTATTTTCTAAGTAAAACTAACAAGACGTAGAATCGTCGTCTTTAGTATAATTAAGATATATTTTTTATGAAAGTATGCAATATAATATTATTGTATATTAACACTGCAAACATTTAAAATTTAATAAAAATATCATTATTTTTCGATTATATTGATCGATGTTTAGTAGAAAAATATGGACTAATAGATATGTTTACAGTTTACATGTATAATAATTTATTAATCAAATGTTTTGTAGATTTGTTTGTATTTGAACATTTTTATTTGGTATTTTTTAGGAACAATATTTAATTTTACTTTTTTACTGAATACCGTAAGACAAAGTAATTCACAACTAAGTCTTTCTTTAAGTCAGAAGAACAATCATTTTTTTTTGTGAGGTCTAATTTACTTGCGTTGCATCTTAATCGAGATGAGAGATCTACTAAAATGTATTACACAAGGAAGGGTAGGTTTTTAGTTTTCAGAGCGTATACTTTTACAACATAAGATATGGGCGGGTACCCGTGGCCAATCATTACCATTTTTATTGTCACAGAAAGAAAAAAATAATTTTTGATATTGTTGATACAATAATTATTATAGAACAACCTTTGTAATTATGCTAAATTAATGATTATTGATAATTTCAGTTGCAAGACCAAATTCGATTTTAGAAAAAATCGAGAAACTAACAAAATAAGTAGTAATTAAGTAATCGTTTCGACATTCAAAGATATGCTACTTGTATGCAAAATTATTTACAATCAAGTTCAAGGTACTTACTTTAGTTCTAAATTGGCTGCTTCGTTTGCTGGCATCCAGTGTATTATACACGGTGCGTATGAATACTCGTTTGAACATTTCAATCGAATTGTCGATTCCACGATGCCGGTTATCCTTTCCAAGACGGCTTGAAAGTAAGGTTTAGTTTGCCAATTGATGACTTTAGTGTTGCGCAATACCGTTTGTAGTTGTTGCTCGTTCCCGGGGCTCGTGTACGGAACAAAAATAGTTGGATGCTTGCCTCCCTAGAAGTAAATTTTAATGTACTTTATCTTTTTCGGCATTTGGAATTGACTACTTAATTTGGATTTGTACAATGACACTCACGGGTTGGTGGTAGATGCCGAGAAATGTACCATTATCAATGTCGTTGGGGACATAATACAGTTTGTAAGTGGAAGCAGCATTTTTGTTATTCCATTTAAACCCAGTTTTGATAAAATAGTAGACCTGTAAAAAAAAAACAATAAAACCGTGTAGTATTTTTTTCCAATCCATTCATTAAGTCCTCATCTGCAGTTTTGGACAGATTACGAAGATCGTAAAACTTCATTGACTTTATAAGAAGAGATCACACTAACTTCTTCTTGATTTGTTGTAATTTAATTTTTTAATTTGTTTAGCTTATCTAACCGTACGCAGCCGAGAAGGTATTTGTATAGGTATCGCTTTAGAATTTGGTTAAGTAAAAATATTGATGTACATTTTCAATTATATCTGCATTGTAACTAAACTCATCAATGAGAAGAATGTGCAGGACACTGATGGTCATTGATTTTCTGATAGTTTTTATGTCCTTTAAGTCATTCGATTTTAAAGTAAGTAAGTCTGATTTAACCATCGTTTATAGCATTACAAATAATACAATAGTTTTTAGTATAATTTGAAAACAATTTTCAAAACCCTACCGATTTTATTATATTATATAGTAGTATAATAATACTATTTTATTCTTAAGTTGATGAATAAATAACAAATTCAAATTGATTATTTTTTTATACATACAATAAAATTTCGATTGGAACGTTTAGCTCCCTTAGCCTACCCCCTGAAGAATGGTTTGTTATAAAACCATAACATTTTTTTTTAATGGGTTTAGATAATTTTTTTTTTATAGTTTCTGCAAAAAGTACATCGTTTTTGGATTATGAAATTGAATATTTTATACAATATTTTAATTCCATCGATTACAACTTATGGATATTTGTAAATGTTCAATTTGACGCGATTATTAAAATTGTAGAATTTAAAATTTTAACAATTGAACAAAAAGTATGATACGTACATTAATACTGTTAGGCCAATCCTTTTTCAGGACTTTGTCGCAAAAATAGTCCATTTTGTCTTCGGGCATTTCTTCCAAATAATCGAACTCCATAGTGTTTTGTCTGTTAACAAAACTAAAATAAAAAATATAATATGCTATAGCGTACGGTGAAAGGTAATAGAATGGTAAAAGGGAACGAGTGATGTTTTACCAAAAAATTGTTTATGGAATATTTTATACTTGGAGCATATTTTGTCAAAAATTAATAGACCTTCTCTTCTCCCTACCAAAAAAAAAAAATCAGACTGGAAAAGAACTTAGCAGTGTGAAGATATCATAGTTTAATAACATGGTGGGTAAAGCCTATAGCATTGATTATGTAATAGAAGTCTATTACATAATCAATGCCTATAGTGTACATTTTTATGGTAATTTAAATTAAATTACACTACAATTGGTGAGAAAACGCATTGTTATCGTATTAAAATATTATTATACCTAACTCCGAAGGGAATGTATTGTTTATTATGGAAAAATAAAACACTTAGAAAAAATAAGATTTGTTTTGTTACAATCATATACAGGGTTAGGTAGGTTTAGTTGCCTATTTATTTATTGAGGTAGGTAGCTAATAATATTTCAAAATAGCTAACTTGAAATAAGATTTGTGTTGTTATACATAGATATACAAGGTAAATAATGGATATAAATAACCATTGTCCATTCAAAAATATTTTTTTAAGGATATTATTTAAATAAATATTTATTTTTAAGTACAGAGGCATGTAATAATACTAATTAGATGCAAGATAGTCCACATATTTTTTATCGATAAATTTTCTTAAATAACTATACCTTTACACTTTGTTTAAATACTATACACTAATATATAGTATAATGAGTAATGCGAGAGGAGATTCAGTATTTGAACAATAAGCACCACACAAATTAATTAAATGATTAACACACTACTTTTAAAAAATACATAATAAACAGTGTGACATAAACACTAGTATAACTGAACGGATAGAATGATCCGCGAACCCCTAGTTAATATGTTATTTATATGAACCTTGCAAGGTTGCCCGTTTGCTTACAAAAACAACTTTGTTATTGCTTAATTTTTCCTTGACATAATATTATTCCACCACTTATTTATACTTGGGACTTTTACTATTGGGAAAAAATCATTAATTTTAATAATTATTATTTATGAATCATTCAATTTACAAGATCAGGAGTTTTTTTTTATTACAATATTTTCAGGGTCGTCGTTACTATTTGTGTGGTTGTACTATATAGTCGCGAGGCCCTAAGGCCTAATCAAATGCACTTCCTACCCCTAACGACGGCCCTGAATATTTTAACTACATAAGTCTAAGTTGAATTAATAAAATACGGCTCAAGTCATAATTTTTGAGACTTAAGTCTAAAAAGCGAAACTCTAAAGGGCTTTTGGGCAATTATCTTATTATATAAAATAGTGAATACTAATTAATGGACAAAATCATAAAGAGCTCGTTTTTATAGTAACTAAGCAATTTTTTAATAACATATTGAATCAATAGTTTTAAATATAAATATATAATTTTATATAAATAGAACAGAAGAAAGTTTTTTGAAAAGTAGGTATTTTCATAAGTACAATCTGTGATACTGTATGCAACAAGCACACACATATTATATGTATGGCATTGTCGAATGGCAAAGTAAAAAAAAAAACTGTTTCACATACTATTTAAGTGCATACAATTTAATGTTATGTAAAGTATTGTTACATGTTATAGTTTGGAAAAAAAAAAAATAATAATAAAAATAATGCTAAATATTACAACTGTAAGGTGGAAGTATCACCGGCGATACATTTATTAAAGTCCCATTTAGACTTTTTTAAATAAAAATGACAAAAACTATTTTTTAGTTTCTATTAATCCTTTTAACATTTCAAATCCATTATGGTGAAATATAATTCATGCATTGCGGGGTTCAAAAAATTGCTTTCTACAATTAGGTGAAGCAATGTAATGTTATGTAATTTTCAAATTATTATAACTGCATAGGGAATGTATCGTATGCAGAAAAATAAAATACCTAAATAACTGTCCATCACACTTTTGAGCATCAAAGTTTCTACAGAGAGTATATTTAAATAAAATAAGAAATCCCCAAAAAGAAATGCCAACGGCACGTAGTGTTCCCAAGCGGTCACCCATCCAAGTACTAACTACGCCCGACGTTGCTTAACTTCAGTGATCGGACGAGAACTGGTTTATTCAACGTGGTATGGTCGTTGGCGAAAGTATTAAGTAAAATTTACTATACTTAAGACTAAGACGAGGGCAAGTAAATAGTGTTAATATTCTTTCCTAATATTTTATATTTAATAATCTAGATCACTAAGTTTAAAAAAAAACTTGAAACTCAAAAAAGAACTTTGTTCATGTTACCGCCTTTTCAAAGTGCTAATAGAAAATGTTTTCTACTTGAAAATTGCCTATACCGAACGCCTTAAATTGTAATAATGTGGGGAGTCCTGAAAAATAAACAATTAAATTTATACCTTGAAATTATTACGGCCAATTTCGATTTTTGGTTTTAGATATCATTTACAAAATATTTTGTATTAATAATGAAATCTAAAACTAGGTACCTATCCCACAGATGCTTTCCAGTCGTAACAACTCATAAATGATCCATATAATTTTATATAAGGTTTATTAAATATAACATCATTTACATTATGTAATATAATGTATGCACGCGTAGAGTTTTTAGTAATATTAATTATCTTTATTATTTATGTTCAGTCAGACATAAATAAATAATCGTCGATGACAAAAAATTAAATTAATTCAATGTTTACATCTGAACGTTATGTAATGAGTAGATTTAGATTGGAAATATTGGTAAACTAATAACATTTATTTTATAAATCAATGCTAATAATAATTGATGACAATTTAAATTGTAGCGCCAACTCATGGAACATATTTGAAACGGTGAATGGAAGTGAAACATTAAGGTTAGCTGCAGTGAACACTATCCAGAGAGATTATAAGTCACGTTGAAATAATTATTTGAGGTTATGTGTATGTGTACGATATCACGGTTCTCATAAACCTGATCCGAATTCTTTTTCTCTGGTCGCCTTGGGTTCTTTTTTTGAAATTACTATTCTATTTTGATTTGTCAAATCCAAAAAAACTTTCAAAATGCAAAACGACGCTGGAGAATTCGTAGATTTGTACTGCCCCCGAAAATGGTAAGTTGTTTGCATTGTATTATAGTATGATTATAAAAAAATTGATTGTTAACAACTATGTCACATGGTGTAACAAAGTATTATATTTTTTTTAAATGTTGATAAATTTAAAATTATTAAATTTAAATTAAATTAAGTATTTCTTTTATCGTACAGCTCTGCCAGCAACCGCATCATTCCGGCTAAGGACCACGCTTCTATTCAGATCAACTTGGCCGAAATCGACTCGGCCACTGGTCGCATTACTGGAAATCACAAAATTTTCACCATCAGTGGAGCTATCCGTCGTATGGTTGGTACTCTTATGTTTATCGTAAAGGCTAATGTATAAATTTTGAGATTGAAAATATTGCTAAAATAACACTGGAGCGAAACAATTTTGGTTTTTTTCCTGTGTATTATCGCTAACGTTTTAATAACTTTATTAAACTGCGTGACTGTTATCTATGATAGGCAGAACATTTACTTTAATGATAGCCTCTCATTTGGAGTCAGTCCTTTCTGTATTATATGAACTGTATTGTAAAAACATAATAATAGTTAGCTTAAATTGCAAAAAAATACATGAATACAATTTAGGTATTGCCTTATTTATAGTTATGATCAATGAATAAGTTTAATTGAAAATGTATTTCCTATTAATAAAAGAAACCTCATACTTTTTGTTCTATTTAACATAATAATTTGACATTTACTTAATCAATTAACCATAACCAAATTATAGTATGTTAGCTATAAATTCTAATTAACATTTAAACTGGTATTTGTTAAGACTATCTACTCGTTTTTCACGCATAAATGGAATATTTTTTGTATATTATCTACAGTCTATTTTAACAATTGAGTTTGCTTATATTTTGTTATATTTTTCCAGGGAGAATCTGATGATTGTATAACGAGGTTAGCTAAGGATAATGGGATTGTTGCTAAGTAAGTACAAAAAAATAACTGAACCAAAAGCTTCTAACAGTTTTATTCTACGACTACTAATTGTAATTTGTTTTAAATTTGTTACAGGAATTTCTAGGGTACCTAATATTATGTCATATTCATTTCGACGATGTGAATAAAAAAAATGTTGTATACATATTTAAAGTTGTTTTGTTTATTTATTTATTTTTATTGACAATACAAAGCATGTTATATTTGTGGTTTGATAAGGGGCCTCGTGACTGTCGATTTATTAAGGGACATTGTATAGACAGCTTGTCACTAAATCTTAACATTTATGCTAAACATTTTAAACATGTATATTAACACAGAAAGAAGGGTTGTATTTTGATATTTAATTATTTTTCTTATAGACTTGTAAAATAGACTTGTTTTTTCTACCATTCTGTGTTCCAATGAAGTCCATAAATTCAGACTCCATGGCAACACGGGATGAAGGAAATTCCAAGGGTCTTTTTATGCCCAATTTTATCACAGTCGTTAGGCCCCTTAAGGTTATTGGTAATAATTTAAGTTGTAGTGTGTCAATTAAGTTTTTGTTTATTACATAAAAATTTGAACGTTTGAAACAGTTAACTGAAATGGTTGTTTCATTACCAGAATAGTAATAATTGAGTTCAGTCTACAATTTTAAATGGTATCATTAGTTTTACGTTTTCAAAATGAATTCTAGGTTTAAATTATAATCATTTATTTGTTTTAAATTAATCAGGTTAAAAAAAACAATCAATGATGTGTTTGAATAGGCTTAGAATCTATGTTCAATTTAAAGACATAAAGTTAAGTATTTGTCCTTAATTTATTCTTAGATAGAAAATTTTATTATGTAAATCTTAGTTAAAAACAAACTATTGAAATTTATACTTGCTCTATAGTATTTTACGAAATAACCTAATAATCGACAAAATTGGATTATTTGTAGTCATCACAATCTCTCAAAAACTACTTGGCAATTAATTTTTTTTAACTATTCTAGTCATACTATGTTCTTAATAATCTATAAAGACAATCCTTGATGGGCTCTACCCTAGTAGGGTCTTCCATTCCATTGTAGTGAAGTGGATGTCAAACCTGGGCATTTTTTATTTAATTAATAAATAAATTATTTGAAAATAATGGATTATTTTATTTACATTTTTATTCAGAATTTGAAGTATAAATTTATTTAAATACACTATTATTTTACTGTAAAAAAAAAATCTGTTATTTTTATTAAACAATTACTTGATATTGTTTTTAAAACATCCATATGAGTAATTCTTTTATTTTAATTTAAAATAGAAAAATATTAAGTTTAAATCAAGAATTCGTATAGAAATCATTTTTTATTAGTTATTTAAAATTATTTGGATATTTGTAAAAAAGAAAGATTTTTAAATCAAATTTTATTTTTAGTAATTATTTAAAAAATATCCAATTTGGTAGAAATTCCACTAGTGAGCAACATATAAGAAAAACATTAAGATGTTTGATTGCAAGGGTGGTTAGGGGTATGGCTATCTAACTGTGCATGATTTCTCAATTAAGCGTAGATTCAATTTCAATAATTTGTTCAATTGCATTATAGTATATTGTGCTGTGTATATTAACTAAAGTACAAACGCCCTTATTTTCGACTAGCAGGCTATTAAAGCGTGCCGTTTACAGAATGATACAATACATTTGAATATATACTAGACGTTTTACAAATAACCGATGGGGTAAAATACTTATAAAATTATAAAATATTTACATTTTTTAAGTAAATCTAAATAGTTTCGATCACCTTTAGTCAACAGGTTTCGTCTTTCGACCTGCAGTTTGCCCAACTTCAACTTCCGACGGTATTGAGGGGGAAAACTCTGATGTTGGCCACACTGCAAATGACCGTTATCAATATCAATATTCCAGCCTTGAGAACAGCTGCACATTTATTACTTATTATCTATGTGTTTATTTTGTTGCACACTGTCTTAAGTTGTTTTTTCTCTCTTCTCACGACGGTCAAGTTAAAATTGGAGGAGCGACTAAATGTCGATTTAAAAAAAATACTATAATATGATTCTTTAGTCATGTCATTGACACGGTTTAGTTAATTCGGTTCTAATCCAAGTGTTGTTATTAAAATAGGCAAACCTATTCGTTCGTCGATTTTATCAAATTATTGTTCTTAAATAATTTATTATGGTACTCGATGAAGTGTTTTGTTAAAAATAATTATGCGAAGTCGTTATTGTTCTCCGGTGTCTACAGTATTTAAACCGCCGTTATTCTGTTTCAACGCTAGCTATTAGTAAGTTCAATCATGTAATAATTGATTTATAACGATACGTTTAAGTGTGTTTTTACACGTTAAATTTAATTTTCGAAGGAGGGTGTACTTATTATAATTTTTTTTCGAAAAATTGGCAAAAATTGATAAAATTATTTTTTTGTTTATAATTAAAATTCAATTTCTTTCTCTTAACTTTAAAGTATATATTGGTTTATAATATATATCACAAACAATTGTAAATATTTTATCATATTTCAAATAATTGTCGATTATCAAATAGATAAATCAATCTATAGTTTGGTTTTTCTTAATTTTTTTATTGATTTTCGCTGTAGGTATACTAAAATTTCACTTAACCTGTTGCTTTTGTCGTTTTATGATAATGAAAATTTTAAATTAGAGTTTTCTAAAATCGGAATTAGTCTTCTAACAGATTCGCTATATTATTAGAGCATGACAATTATGGCGGATTATTTCACTTTTAATAATAATAACATTGTCTTGTTTTTAGAACAATGTAATATCGACTGAAATAAGCTTACATTTAATTTCTTTATTCTTTTGCTCAAAAGATTTAATTTACATATAAAATTACCTGACGTCTTTAAAAGTGTTATTGTTTTTCGGCAACAAAATTTAATAAATTAATTTTTATGCTAAAAATATTAATGTATATATTCCAACGGGATGTTTAAATCTATTGATTTTAAATTAATTTTATTAAATATTGATAACAAAAATTAAGTAATAAAGTAAATAAGTAATAACGTGGCGGTTTTTCATTTATGTTATATTTATCAAAATAATATTTATCTCAATATTAAATATTATGTTTACAAACAACAAATTAATCAATATATATAGGCTGTCATGTAAATAGCGTGTTAGTGAGTAATTTATAGGTGTAAAGAATAATGTATAGTTACTTAATAAAAAATTAACAGTACCTCTTTAAATATTATTAGTCCTTACAAATTGGAATGTCTAAATGAGGTTTATTTACCTTTGAAGTAAAATATATTAAATATAACTAAATACATTTTCAATAATAATTTGTGACGCTTATTTAATTTAAAAAAAAAAAAACAAAATAAAAGTGAAGGTAATAATTGTGATACATAAAACCAATACGTGTACGTAATTTACTTAAAAGAAAAAAAAACAAAAATTTGCTGAAATAGACTTGGCTCCAAACTCCATGCCTTTTTCAAGGCTATGTTTTACGTTCACTTCCCAATTTTTTGTTTTAATTTACTAACAAGTATAATAAAATATCAAAAACATTTAATAAACAATTATTTTAATTATATAGTACAATTAATACAATTTCTATTTAAATTAAATACCTACTATTTGAGTTAAAAATGTTTTCATCAGTTTTTATTTTAATAATTTTTTTTTTAAATAATTATTTTAATTTTTATTTAAATAATGGCCAGATGCCATAATGTTTAGAAGATGTATATTCTTTACCCAAAATATGAGTTAAATTACAGCGTACAACTATAACAAAACTAACTAGGTCAGGCATTCACATACAAAATAAAACAGGGCTGAATATTTCAACTAGGATTTTTAGTCCTTTGCAAAATATTTAGTGTGCATGTTTCATCTAATATCTAATTCAATGTTGTCATACAGAAATTTGTGTACTTCATTTTTCTATTAAATTTTGTAGCCTATAATTATTATAGACAATAATTATGAAATTTTAAAAATATTTTTAAAAAAAATATATTTTCTATAGATACTAGGCAGCTGAGTCATATTCACCGAAGTGATAATTAATTGAAGTAGGGGAACTCAGACCCTCCCAAAATTGATTAACATAAATGATGTCATTTTGTTTCATTGCAATATCAATTTAAACATTGTAATTCAGAATATTTTAACGCCGTTTTGGTTCTTTTTATTCATTAACTACTTGATACATATTTTTTTTCAAAATCAAAATATTAAGAAGATGCTTGCATATTCTTTTGGTGTTTTCAAGTATGTCTACATATAATTAGAGATTTCCTTATTTCAATTTCTATTATTTTGTAGTTTCAATTTGCTTAAAATAAAAAATAAAAAACAGGTTTATATCGGGTCTCGAATGAACTTGAAATAATGCGACTAACGGATAACTACCAAAATTATAACTTTAAAACTATTTATTTTGTTTCGTTGTTTTATGTGATTATGAATTTGTATGTTTTGTATATCATTTAATTATTTGTTTTACACTAAAAAAGAAATGTTAGAACGATTAAAATTGCATAATAAAATAATTATTTATTAACAGCATGTTTTCTTTTGTTATTAAAATGTATTTTTTAATTTAATTATTCAGTGCACAATCACCGCTGCTTGGGTATGTATATGTTTAGTATAAAAACAAAAAAAATATTTGCTAAATATTTTTTTTAAATGTTTAAAAACAGAAATTTAATAAAACTGTTAAAAATTAACAGAATAGCATAATTTACTAAACAAATCTGAAATAAAAATTATATAATTTATTTTGCAACCAAATGACTCCAAACAAATCTTTCATAAAAGTAATAAAAAAAAAAATCAAGTTTTGAATCTATGCCATTTATTAAATAATTTGTCTAATTATTTCTCACAATCAACATTGAAAAAATTTTAATAAAATATTAGGTAGTAAATAATTTGACAAATTATGTATTAATTAATGAATAAAGGATAATTTATTTATTAATTAATATTTCTAGATAAAAAAATTTAGTTTCTCGTAAATTATTTTTTATTTATTTCAAGTTTTTTCTTGCTGTAGGTAATTTAAAAATTGTAGCTTTTGTTATTATATAGACATTTAAATAAATAATTTTTTAAAACACCATTTCTTATTTACTGCTTCATCTATATCAACATTTTT